AGGTGAATAGGCGGGTTTGGGGAAGAGGTGGGTTAGGGAATAGCCTAGCTTCTTCTGGAAAACTCCCTGTTGGCTGGCTAGAAAAGCCAAGGGAATTGGGAAGGGGCACCTGGGTTTTGTCCCACTGGGGAGGTCCTAGAAATGGGGTGTCCAGCTGTCCGGCCGTGTAGCTGTTGACTCATCTCTTCAGTCCCCTCTAGTAGATTTATTAATTTAGTAAATTTACTAATTTCCATTAGGAGATTTTAGTAGTGTTGTATTGCAATAATCTATATTGACCAGCAGGTGTCGCAGTTGTGGCCATGTGGTGCAGAGACACGACTAGAGGCTGTGTGAACAATCCCTCTTGGTTCCTGAATTGGTCCCTGCTTAAATACTGACAAATATGCTTTGCTTGACAAATTAAGAGTAATTATTAAGAACAATTAAAGTGATTGTGAACACAGAGAGCGCTTTTTGGTGGCCAGAATATCAAGAAACCCAACACTTGCCAGCAGTAACAAGCCACAAACAGGACCAGTGCACAGCCAGGGGACATGACACCATGCAGGGATCATGGTGGAAGAAAACACACGCAGCTGGAGAGGTTGCAACAGCCTGCCATGAGTGGGATGAGCCGGTCCAGGTAGATGCAAGCTTGTACCCACATGGGGCAACAGACGTAGGTAAACACAAATAAAGTAGTCCCAGATTACACTGGGACTCACAATTGAGTGTAATAAAAAAAAAATTCTTTATTTAGGGGAAACACACAGATCAGAGTCCTCTGCACAAATGGGAAACAGGAACCCAATTCAGCCGCCAGGTGAGAGAGGTGAGATAGAGCAGGCATGCCAATGCTCACCTTTTCAGTACCCAAGGCCACTCCCAACCTGTTCCAGCATCTCAAAGACCATTGGCTGAAAGAGGTTCCCCAGTACCTCTATGCATCACACATGGGTCACTACAGTTCCCAATTCAATTAAACAATTCTCTGCCCATAATTGTGTTTTTATGTTGGGAAACAGAATGTACCTAATAACTTGTTTACAGCTTTGCTTAACTGTGTGAATGTCATTATGCTGTGTATTATTTTCTGTAAGCATGTTGTAGATGCTTTATAGGAAAAATAGGGTAGAATGGAGCTGAGTTGATGGTTTCTAGGAGCAAACTTATTTTATGAATGATCCAAGAACATTTGAAATTGCTCATTTTGGGTTAGGCTTTGAAAAAACCAAAGGAGAACAATGCACAGTCCCAGGTCATAGAGAGTCTATTAGAAAACAAAAAGGTTTTGGTCTTGTGCACAAAACAAAAAGTAAGTTTTCTGTAAATCACAAGTACAAGTTATGTAAGCTTATAGAAAAGCATGTCTGCTCAGAATGAGTATGTGGCAGGCCACTAGAATGTAAGAGTTTGGGATATGCAAATAGCAATTGAAAGTTATGGTATAATAACAATCTGGACATGGCTATGTGGTGCCTGAATTCTGAGGCACACTGGTAATTAATAAGGGATTGCACTGGGTCTGCAGCATGACTAGGGTTTGTTAGGCATGAGCTGAAAAAGAGAAGGAATGGTCTTGAAGCCATGCAGTGTTACCAAAGTACAAACATCAGAAAACTTGCGAACACTGAGGTGCACTTGAGTTATTTAGTTTGGTTAGGATGTGGACACAGAATTAGGCCAACAAGTCAAACCGGGGTGAGTGTAGACTTGTGTGAGAGAGTTTAGTTCATCTTTCTAAACAAAAGGAAAGGCAGCTCATTTGGGGAGGATTATGAGTAGTGACAGCTGGGGAAAAAGAACACTGCCTCTGAGGGGCATTCAGAGTCCACTGTATTAGTTTAGGATGTAAATTCCCAAAGCCAGAATGCAGGGAAGATGAAAGAGAATCAGAGCTACTGGGTATTTAGAGTCGAATGTTGAAACTTGGTGAGTAGATGGAGGGAAGTAAACTAGATCATTGTCCACGGTGATGGGGAGCTTCTAGGAGCAATTTTCTGTTGAGCAGTAGCATACTGGGGCGTAGTTCATTTTTAGCATGGGCTTGTCTCTGCTTCTTGTAAGAAGAAATGTTTGAGCTTCATTTAGATTCTCTTCTTAAGTAGTTCTTGTTCTTGACTACCTAGAATATTTCTTGATTTTATGTAACTCAGCTACCTGCTTATTATCTTACTTGGTATTTTAAAGTAATTGAAAGAATTTTGTTGTGGTAAAATACATAAAGCATAAAATCTACTACTTTAACTATTTTTTCTTTTTTAAAAAGACATTTAAAATTATTTAAACTTTTGTGTCTATGTGAGTATATGTGTAGGTACCTGTGTGAAGACCACAAGAGGACATAAGGGCCACTGCAGCCAGAGTTACAGGAAACTGTAGCCACCTGATGTGGGTGCTGGGAACTGAACTCTGGTCCTCTGGAAGAGCACTAAGTGCTATCTCTCCAGTCTCATTTTGGCCATTTTTAAGTGTGCAGTTTAGTAGTGTTGGTTATATTTAGGTCATTGTACAATTGTAATCATTGTCTATAAGTTATCATCCTTATATAAACTATATATAATTAGTATATAAACTACCCTTTAAACTATAAATGCCTGTTTTTTATCCTCCAGCCACTGGCAAAGAGCAATTCTTTTTTATGTTTCTATTAATTTTGCTACTATAGATGCTTCATATCAATATGGAATTTGGAGAGTCTGGTGTAGCTGGCAATGAGGACTGAGAGATGAATCAGGAACAGGCACCTGGAGGGGTGTCTAGAGGATATGACTGGAGCCGCCAATCTAGGATCTTCCCAACACTAAATGTTTGGCATTCTAAGTTGACTAGTGCCCTTGTGGGCTCAGACTTGTGAGGATAAAAGCTGCTCTTCCTGGGGGATGCAACACATTTGTGCTTTCTAGTTACCCTCTGCCCCATAGGCACTCAAGCCTGTTTCTTTGCACATCTTCAGGCAGAGAGTGCTACTGGTCACATACTAAGCTAGAACTGTCATCTACATCTGAGGTCTTTCAGATCCCAGAATGTGGAAATCATGGTACTCTTACTTCTGGCAAACGGATGCCATGGCCCAGGAGCACAGTGTAAATGTCAATGATTTCCAGGGTTGAGGACCACACTGTGCGGGTAAGTAGGTGAGGTGGGATAAGTGGTGCAGGTGTAAGTGATGTATCGATGAGGGAGGAGTTTGTAGGCTGAGCATGTGGGTGGGCAACACGTGTGTGCACAGTTATTGAGTGTCAACTGTATATGCGCATCTAGGTCTTTTTCCCCTTTTTAATATTTTTATTGGGGGGGGTCAGAGATTACAATATGATTTCTGCTTGTCCTTTACTTAAGATCTACAAATTCTGCTTGTGCAAAAGTCCAACACCTATCTCCTCCCACCAAAAGAAAACAGTCTTCTTCAAAGAGGGAGGGCAGGGCATGGGCAGTTTCCATAGAAGGCAAGAGTAGGTAACTTCCACCAGACAGAGGCAGAGGGCATAAGGACTAATTATGGTCCTGCTTACTCAAAAATGAAAACCCAAATAATGGCAAACGCTGAAAGCTGGGGAGTTTCCTGAGTTATCACCACTTCCTGTTTGGCATTCTAGGCAAAACCCTACAGCATACACACAATCAGTACAGGACTACTGCAGACCGAATACAGCAGCCAGCAGCATGGGAGACGCCAAGGATGGTGCTGCCATGGCAGTCCTCAAAGTTCCTTGGCTCCTGCACAGCAGCTTCTGTGTCTTGGAGTGCCTTCATGATTAGGCTATGTGGAAGGCTGCTGCTAAGCGCTGACAGTGAGAAGCCATTTGGGTCACTTGGGTGACTCCAGAGTAGATACTGCAGAGCGGAGCCAGGGTTCCCAAGAAAACTGTGACTAAAATGCAAGAACCTACAATGCTTGAGCGGGTTCTAGGAGGTGGAATCCAAGTCTTGCAAGCTGTCTTGGACATCAGCGCTTTCTTTGCTGTCACTGCCACTGTCATCTCCGGCCAGGTTCTGCTGACAGGCCTCTTCAGAACCAGGAAGTGTGCTGCCCTGATTCTCCTTGGAACCCAGAACCACGTATCTGCCCTTCTTCATCACCAGCTGCCGTCTCAGTTCCTCTGCCATCTGGGAGAGATCTCGTTTCATGGAGTACGCATCTTCTCCATCTGCATAGTACTTGGGCTCCACCTCACTAACCTGGAAGTTCAGGGTGTTGGAATAAAGGTGCAGGGCCGCCCTGTTGCTCTTCCTCATGTGCAGGGATACATACTTGGCGCTGAAGTTTTCGATCATGGCCCGCGAGACCTGGTCCATCAGCTTCTGGGCCAGGCCGAGGTGCTGGTGGGAACGTTTCACAGCCAGTGAGGTGATGTGTCCATGAGGGACATCATCGGGGTCCTCCTCCATCTTGGCCAGGACATAGCCCATGATCTTGCCATCCTCATCCTCAGCAATGTAGGAGAGCTGGGGCCAAGAGAGGCCGTGGTAGAAGTAGTACTTCATCTGGTAGTTCTCGGGCAGGCACAGCAGGTTGCTGACAGAGGCCCCCTTAGGACACTGATCAACAGTTGAGGATGGCAGGCAGTTCTATAGAGTAGCCAAACAACCGTCCGAGGCGTGGGACCATGGCAGAGGTTGGCTCTTTCGTGCCAGCTTCCGTGTTCTGCACTGTCAGTGTGGCGAGGTGACTTGTTGAGTCTGCTGACTTTTCGATCCACAGTCATCGCCTGCAATGACCAGGCAGCAGATCTGGGATCCTCAGACACCGAGTGCTTGTGCACGCTGTCATTTTTCTCCTGGCTTCTGAAACCACAGGCAGGATTCAGGGCCCTGGGCCATGTTGCATCTTGTGTCACTGTGAATAAGCCTGAAGAGGTGGTCTGTGTGCTCACCTGAAGCATGTGTGTGGAGGCAGAGGAAACCCCTGGATTCTGACATAATCACATCTCTACAGAGTGATGGGAGAGCTGACATCCACAGAAGAGGCATCTCAGCCTGGCCTAACATATTTGGATTTTCACTTAGTTCTAGACATGATCTTTCTGTTTGGGCCTCTGGGTGGTAAGTACGTTCTCTATGCCTTGTCCTCTGCAATATCACTTGTGTTCTGTCTACCCATAGATGCTGCTGTGGAGCCCAAATCTCACACAGCGCTCCTCACCAAGAAGCAGACGGGTGAGGAAGAGGAGAGGCTGACCACGGAGCTGCAGCTGATGAGCAGCCAAAGAAATGAGCTGCAAGGTCGCCTGAGCCTCATCAGCGAGGGAACTGTGGACAACAGGTGTTCATTGTTTCAGTCTTCATGGGACCTTCAGCAATGTCACCCTCACTTTTTTTCCTTCAAGGTTTTGGGTTCTCAGATGCTGGGCCTCCAGTGTGACCCATGTCTGAACTTCTCAGGGGAGAGGCAGACCTGAAGCTTTGAAGGGAGGGAGATGGGGACTCTGGCTATTCTGCTTTCTCCAAATGAAAACCAGAGCCCACAATCTGAGTCACATGACTCAGGGATTGAGGCAGGAATGTGTACTGCTTAGCAGGCATTTGGAAAGGACCTGATAGGTGAGGGCTTGTGTGAGTGTGTGTGGCCTTTGATCTTGCCTAGAAAGTGACTGTGTGCTGGAAGCTCCTGGGACTCATCAGTTTCTCTCTAGTTTTGTGCCTTATAATCTTAAACAATACTGCTCCATAAATTTCTTTAGCATGTAAATATGTGTCCTCCCTCCCTATATATATATACCCACCCTCAGGTGTTTGTGTTTGTGTGTGTCTTTGTGTGTGCCTCTGTGTGTGTGTGTCTGTGTGTGCACATGCATTTTCAGGTCTGTAGGGGGACAAGAGAATTTGCCGGCCCCGGTTTCCAACTGTTGCTAGTCTGAGGGCAGGGAACCCCACTTTAAGCAGTATTTCTATTACCCTACATACTCACCTTCATGGCCCCTAGGAATCCCTTGGAGAAGTTTATATCACTGTCCTGCTGTTGAGCCTCAACCCCAGAAATAGGTGTTTTGTCTAACTGTTCAATAGTAGTCACCCAAGACCTAGAATCGCTATTCTGAAATGGGAGAAACGTCAATATTTGGTGTGCCAAGACTTGTGGCATAGACCCTGGTAACACCGAGAGCTACACTGAACCTCTAGTAACACTCAATAAATTCATGCAGCCACAGAAATCCCCATCTGCAAACCTCAGCTGACCTAGGGAAAAGATAACAAGTCTAATAGCACAAGGAGGTCCAAGGACATAGTAACCAGAATGTGGCACCCACTGGGCTGTGGTAGACCAGGACACAACTTGAATTCCCTTGATCCTTGAGGCATCTGTTCACAAGATTCTTTTTTCCTCTTTCTAGGCCATACCACGAGTCAAATAATTCCTATGAAGAACTGAAATTTGATCATACAGAGATAATGTCAGAACTGAACACCTTGGAGATTGATTTCACCGAAGCATCAAAGAAGTTCAGTGAGCTGAGAAAGGAGACAATTTTCTATCGGTAAGTGCCCATGCAAGTGCCCATGGTGACATGGACCCCAAAAATTGTGGAATGACCATATATGCCTTTACTTTTCTCTGGATGAAGCATCCCCAACTCTGGTTTGTACCTTTCTGCTTCTTTTTTTCCTTTTTTAATTGATTTTATTGGGCTATACATTTTTCACTGCTGCCCTCCCTGCCTTTCTCCTTCCCTTCAACCCTCTCCCAAGGTCCCCATGCTCCCACTTTACTCAGGAGATCTTGTCTTTTTCTACTTCCATGTAGATTAGATCCATGTATGACTCTCTTAGGTTCCTCATTGTTGTCTAAGTTCTCTGGGATTGTGATTTAATGGTTGCTTTTCTTTGTTTTATGTTTTAAAACCACTTATGAGTGAGTACATATGATAATTGCCTTTCTGGGTCTGGGTTACCTCACTCAATATGATGTTTTTTAGTTCATCCATTTGCCTGCAAATTTCAAGATGTCATTATTTTTCTCTGCTGTATAGTAGTCCATTGTGTAAATGTACCACATTTTCCTTATCCATTCTTCGGTTGAGGCCATTTAGGTTGTTTCCAGATTCTGACTATGACAAACAATGCTGCTGTGAACATAGCTGAGCACATATCCTTGTGGCACGATTGAGCATCCTTTGGATATATACCCAAAAGTGGTATTACTGGGTCTTGAGGAAGGTTGTTTCCTAATTTTCTGAGAAATCGCCACACTGACATCCAAAGGGGTTATACAGCTTGCATTCCCACCAGCAATGCAGATTTGTTCCCTTTTCCCCACAACCTCTCCAGCATAAATTGTCATCAGTGACATTCTTGGTCATTCTTACAGGTGTAAGATGGAATCTCAGAGTTGTTTTGATTTGCATTTCTCTGATGACTAAGCATGTTGAACATTTCCTTAAGTGTCTTTCAGCCATTTTAGCTTCCTCTGTTGAGAATTCTCTGTTTAGGTCTGTACTCCATTTTTTATTGAGTTATTTATTCTTTTGATAAACAATTTCTTGAGTTCTTTGTATATTTTGGAGATCAGACCTCTGTCTAATGTGGGGTTAGTGAAGATCTTTTCCCATTCTGTAGGCTGTCGTTTTGTCTTGTTGACTGTGTCCTTTGCTTTACAGAAGCTTCTCAGTTTCAGGATTCCCATTTATTAATTGTTTCTCTCAGGGTCTGTGCTGCTGGGGTTATATTTAGGAAGTGGTCTCCTGTGCCAATGCGTTCAAATGTTCTTCCCACTTTCTCTTCTATGAGGTTCAGTGTAGCTGGCTTTATGTTGAAGATCCATTTGGACTTGAGTTTTGTGCATAGTAGTAGATATGGATGTATTTTCATTCTTCTACGTGTTGATATTTAATTATGCCAGCACCAGTTGTTAAATATGCTTTCTTTTTTACATTAGATTCTTTTTTGCTTCTTTGTCAAAAGTCATGTGTTTGTAGGTATGCAGATTAATATCTGACTCTTTGATTTAGTTCCATTGGTCCTCCTGTCTGTTTTTATGCCAATACCAGGCTGTTTTCAGTACTGTAGTTCTGTAGTAGATTTTGAAGTCAGGGATTGTGATGCCTCCAGAAGTTCTTTTATTGTACAGGATTGTTTAGAAGTATTTCTTTTGCATATGAGGGTGCCCTTGTATTTGGGGCATAGATGTTCAGTATTGAGATTTTCTCTTGATGGGTTTTTCCTGTGTCCTTCTTTGTCTCTTTTGACTGATTTTAACTTTTAGCTACCTAATATAGCTACACCAGCTTGTTTCTTAGGTCCATTTACTCTGATGCGATGTCTGTCTTTGAGGTTGAGGTGTGTTTCTTATATGTAGAAGAAGGATGGATTCTGCTTTCATATCCAGTTTGTTAGCCTGTGCCTTTTTATAGGTGAGTTGAGTCTGTTTACATTAAGGGATTTTAATGACCAGTGGTTGCTATCTCCTGTTAATTTAGTTTTCATTGTTGGTGATGTTAATTTGTGTGTTTTTCTCTTTTTGGGGATTTGCTGCTATGAGACCATCAATTGTCTGTGTTTTTTGTTTTGGTTTGGTTTGGTTTGGTTTTTTTGATGTAGCCAATTTCCTTGGGTTGGAGTTTTCCTTCTAGCATTTTGTGTAGGGCTGGGTTTATGGCTAGGTATTGGTTAAATCTGGTTTTGTCATGGAATATCTTGTTTTGTCCTTCTATGGTGATTGAAAGTTTTGCTGGGTATAGTAGTCTGGGCTGGCATCTGTGATCTCTTAATGCCTGCATAACACTTGACCATGACCTTCTGGCCTTCATTGTCTCCATTGAGAAGTCAGGTGTAATTCTGATAAGTCTTTATATGTTACTTGACCTTCTTCCTTTTCAACTCTCAATATTCTTTCTTTATTCTGTATGTTTAGTGTTTTGATTACCATGTGGAAAGGGGACATTTTTTATCCAGTCTATTTTGTGTTCTGTAAGCTCCTTCTATCTTCATAGAAATATCTTTCTTTAGGTTGGGAATGTTTTTTTCTATGATTTTGTTAAATATATTTTTTGTGCTTTTGAGTTGAACTTCTTCTATACCTATTATTCTTAGGTTTAGTCTTTTCATGGTGTCCATTATTTCTTGGATATTTTGGGTTAAACTTTTGTTAGATTTAGTGTTTTCTTTGATGAGTCTATTTCCTCTATTGTATCTTCAGTGCTTGATATTCTCTATCTCTTGTATTCTTCTGTTTATGCTTGCATTTGTGGTTCCTGATCATTTTCTCCTGATTTCTGTTTCTATTAATTCCCTCAGCTTGTGTTTTCTTTATTGTCTCTATTTCAGTTTTCAAGTCTTGAATACCTTTTTTAAGTTTTATTGCTTTTTCTTCTTTTTCTTTAAGGGATTTGTTGTCTTCCAATTTTTTTGTTTATGTTTTTTTCCCATTTCTTTGAGGGAATTTCTCATTTCCTCTTTAAGGGCCTCAAACATTCTCCTGAAGTTATTTTTAGGTCCTTTTCTTCTTCTTCATCTACATTTGTTTGTTTAAGTCTTGCTGTTTAGGGTCACTAGATTTTACTAGTGTTGTGTTGCTCTTTGTGGTGTTGCGTTTGTTCTTTCCTTGTATACCCATCTTTTCCTCTAATTGGTGTAGTTGGGGCTGTCGGTGACTCTGGTGATCAATCTTCCAGCTGCCGGTGGATCCAAGGCTCAGATGGTTGTTCCTCATGGTGCAGTCAGTGCCACGGTTCCAATCACCTCATTTGCCACTCCATGTTTCTGGAGGTCGCTCAGTGCTCCCAGGGTTTGCTCCACTCCTGTGGAGTTCACTGTCTAAGGCCAATTCTGGCCTAGGTTGTTGCCGGCTCAGACCTATTTCCGTAAATGTCACTGTCCTGGATCCACTCCCAGACTCAGGTGTCCCCAGACCTGCATAAGTCCTGGCTCAGGCCTGCTCCCTCAAGGTCCCAGACTCATGTCTGGACCTGCAGGGGTCCTGGCTCAGGTCTACTTCCTTGAAGGTCACAGACTCATGCCCTGATCCACAGAGGTCATTAGATCCTGCCTATACCCTTGTAGGTCCCAGACTCATGCCTGGACCCACAGAGGTCTCTGACTCTGGCCCGTTCCCTCAGTGGTTGCTCCCCTGTACCTGCTCCTGTGAAGTTTGCTGTCTCAGGTCTGCTCTGGTCTAGGTCGCTGGCTCAGTCCTACTCCTATGGAGTTCACCATCACAGGCCCCCCGGCCCAGGTTGCTGGATCGGTCTTGCTCCTGTGGAGTCTGCTGCCTCAGCCCTTTCTGCTTCTTATCAGGCAGCCTTACCATGCAGCTCTTAGACTTATGTCTCTTGGACTCAGTATTGCCATGTGTGAAAGAGACTGTTAGCCCTTGCTAGCACTGTCCTGTGGCCTCAGGAGCTTCTAGATAGAAAAAGGATTTGCACTGTGAGGGGAATGACAGGCAGCCTTTGCTGTCTAAAGCTCAGGCTCAGGGTTTACTGATCAGGTGTCTGTGGAAACTGTAGATAGACCGTACTCACCATGGGTCTCCTGTCTTCCTTTGGAGGGTATTTGCCCACTACATGCTGATGTTTTGCCATTACTACAGAAAGGTAAGGATAGTTGGGGGACTCCTTTCTATTGTAGAAATGTGGATCCTTTGTGATGTTGTGGTTTTTCTTAGTAGTTTGACACTTTCTGGTATCAGCTGTTCCCTCATTTGGGCTTTCTGAATGTAGCTGTCATGGCTATATCAGACTCTTGGCTACGTCTCCCATAAAACATGAAGCCTTTTGGGGTGCTGGTTCCTGGACGCAAGGGTGGCAGGAGGAGGCTAGCAGGGACTTACTATGCAGAGTGTGTCTCCAGTGGTCTGCACAGTCGGCTCCTGATGGAAAAGACTCAGCTGAAGAAGAAGGTTGTCATACTGAAGCAGGAGAAAAAGAAACTGCTGGATGATTGGGCCCTGCTGAAGCACCACTTGGAGGACATGAATGTGATTTGTAATGACCAAGAGGAAAAGACCAGTGACCTCAAAACCCAGCAACAAGAGGTAGGGGCAGGCAAGTAAGTCAGGCTAAGGTCTGGCTCCATTTGCCCATTTGACTGCCTCGCTGCCCATCCACCCACCCGTGCTTTCACCCATCACCTTAATCATTCATGCTCCCACCCAGCGACCCACTCACACTACCCAGGTGTTCATTTCAGTGTCCACGCACAAGTACTTCTGGGAAGTTAACCTCTTAAGAGAAACTGAGTTTTGGGCAAGCCATCCTTAATACTCTGCTTGAAGCTGCAGTCCAGTGAAGGAGAAAGGTCAAGAACCTACATGTGAACAGAGCTTTGAGTGAGTGAGTTCTGGGTCCTGGGGCTCATTTGCTCAGCAGAGCTCATGAGACATCACAGGTTAGAGGCAGTTTTCAAGGAGGAGATCCCCGTGCAAGTGCCAAACCAGTGCTTCTCACAGTCATGGACTTGTGGCCTGCAGTCTTCTTACTTCCTGCATCCCAATATTTTTTCTTCACTTTGCCCAACTCCTAGTTGACAGTGACAGAAGCATGAGTAGCAGCTTGTCAGCCCTGTTTTCTGTGGGTGGTGCTGCACAGTTCTCCAATCCAGCAGTAAATACTCTGTGGTTATTGGATGATCGGCTGGGGGCTTTTGACAAGATGGTGGTAGAAGGTGGGAGATTTGGGCCTTCAGGGGAAGAATTTTTTTAACAAACTCAACCTAATCTGGACAAACAAATCATATTTCCCCCAAAAGTATTCCTCCCCAATGAATGAGTTGTGAGTTGTGAGGCTCTTCTGAAAGAGCTGGCATGGTTCGTCTAAACTGAAGTATTCTGCCATGTTTATTATTTCTCCTGGGGTTCTCTCTCTCTCTCTCTCTCTCTCTCTCTCTCTCTCTCTCTCTCTGTGTGTGTGTGTGTGTGTGTGTGTGTGTGTGTGTGTGTAGTGTAAGTTTGAGGGTGTTCTGGTACATCATGCATGTGTGCAATTGGCTAAAGGAGACCATTGCGTTTCTGGTCACTCTCTAACTAGAATCAGGGTTTCTTAGTCCCCTGGATGCTTATACTGTTTAGTCTGCCTGGCTGACCAGCAAGCTATTTAGATCCTTTTGATATGCTTAGATCTGTATGACTGTCTGTAACCCTCCAGTAAGAAAACAATCTTCTAATGAACAGGAGTTCAAGAGATTGGAGGAAAGCCTTCAGTTCCTGCAGAAGCAGAAGGAAATGGTCACGCAGGAAAAGGACTTGGCAGAAAAGCTGCAGCATGATTTTGAGGTCTCCCAGGTGAGGTAGGAACCAGGCTTTTGAGGTTGAGGAAGATTCAAGTGGGTCCCCTTTACCTGGGATCTCTGTCTTTTACGGGTCTGCTCACATATACAGCCAGAACCAGGGAAAGAAAACCTTAGAGAATTGTGCTGGTTCAGTCAACAAGAACTTCTCTTTAGAAAGCAATGCATCTGATGTTCAGTGTGTCTGTAGAACTGAGTCTCCCTTTCTTCCTTCTGAGCTCTCTATGTTCTGAGCAGGAGTTTCTTGAGCTGGCAGAAATCTGCCTGCTTCAGGCTCCCAAGTGATGGGATTTAGAGGTGTGCACCACCACACCTGGCTGAAATAACATTTTTATTTAGGAAAATTCCATGTGAAGAAAGGATTCCCACCTTTGAACACTGATCTCTGCGACAATTATCTATTTCCTGTGCAAAGCATTCTCTGGATAGAGTAGGTGAAAGACTTTCCAGGATGACCAACAGATACCTCAGCTGCAGGATGACCCATGCAGCTCCGAACCTTCTCTGAGTGTGCTGTACCAGACTCCCAATAAGAGCCAGGATGCAGATTCCCAGCTCTAGTCCTAAGGAAATCACAGGCAGGGTCAGTGTTCTCAGGCACACATTTCAGGAAATGCTGCACCAGTATGGGAAACACTATCGTGCATGTTGGTCATGTTCAATGTACCTCCTTGACTGAGCTAGCCTCATGGCCATGTTCAGCTGCCCAAATAGAAACACTGTATTATGGCTATCAATAGAATAAAGTGCTTGATCAGTAACTCATCATCAATAACAAGTGTATTTTTATATACTGCTGGTTATCATATTAATATCCTATTGGTATATACAAAATGATTTCCCTGAACTATAGGATTTTGTCCTAAATTTTCTAGTAGAAAGGACATTATACACACTCAGTTTAAGATATGACATGTGTTTAGGGCTGAAAAAATTCTAGGTCCAGCTACTCTGTGATCCTTTTTCTTTGGAGATACAAACATGATACTGGTCCAAAAATCAATGTTGATTGTCCAGGGCACATGAGGTGGTGGGAGGTGTTAGCTGGACAGTTGATGCAGCATGTCCCCTCCTGATCTGTGTCTTAACTGCTTTCCTCTCCCAGGTTCAAAAATCTTCAGGCTGAGCTTGAACAGGCCACAGCCCAGGATGAGAGCCAACTGCGGAAGGAGCTGGTACAGCAAGAGCCACCTGTTGCCCCCATTCCCAGCAGCTACTGAATTTCGGGGATGCATTTTCTTCCTCAAGTTCGGCATCTTTTGTGTAATAGGCCCTGATTATGCCTAGCCAGTGACCCAGCATAGCTGCTTCTGGGCCTTGACACACATTCATTCTTGGCAACTCTTTAGTAAGAACTGAGGAAGCCAAGGGAAGTCATGGACAACATGTCATTCTCCCTCCTAGGATCTAGGCCTCCTCAGAAACGGATGCCCCTCTGTGGCTATGAACTCAAAAGAGGGAAAATACCTCACCCTTGGGGAGGAGGGGACATGCAAAGCACCAAAGAAAAATCGCTGTATGCATCTTGACAACGTTGTAACAATTGGTGACTGTCTTCCTACTGTGTCTCCAAGGTAAGCCACAGGTTGTAGGTCTGTGCTGTTCAACCTGCAGCAAGACAATGCTGCTTATCTTCATTTTCTTCAATTTTTGTTTAGGTTTTTGGTTTTGGTTGTTTAGGTTTTGGTTTTGCTATTTTGATGTTATTTGTTCTCGTTCTTGTTTTTCATAATTTGCTAAGACTTTTCACTGTTTATTTTGACTGCTTTATTAAATCCCCTTTTGAGAAAAATGTGTTTTTTATTAATTAAAAAAAGCAATTTCAACTCTTCACACATAAGCCCATCTTCTTTAGTCAGGTATGGTGTCACACTCCTATAACCCAGAACTCACCGGCACAGATAAATTTCTGCAAGATCTAGGCATCATGGGCTACATAGTGAGTTCCCAACCAGATAGGGAAATGCAGGGGATTAATGTCTTGGGTGGTTTGTTCGGTACATACATACTTTCCATACTGTATTCATGCTGACATGTTTTAGCTAACTGTAAAGTATGATACTCCATGAACACACTTTCATGAATTGGTCATAAGGACCAAATTATTGAGAAATACACATTTGTTACTGTATAGCCTCTCAGGCAATAAAAGCATTCATCATGGGACTATAAAATAAATCGAGCCAGAGCTTTCTGCCTCTGTTTTTCTTACAATACAGCATAGTCATAAGCACACAACACAGATAATAACCTCCCAAGTCACTTGGGAAATAAATTTTTAGAGAGGCTGTTAGCTTTGAACACGTAGTTGGTGTACTTTTCTTTTTAAGCTTATTATTCTTATTTTGTGTGAATGGGTAGGTTACCTGTGACCCACATGGGTGCAATTCCCTAAAAGGCCAGAAGAAGGCACTGGATCCCATTTTGCAGATGGTTGGCACCATTTGAAAGCACCAAATACTTTTTTTTAATTATTTATTAAAGATTTCTGCCTTCTCCCCGCCACCGCCTCCCATTTCCCTCCTCCTCCCCCGGTCAAGTCCCCCTCCCTTGTCAGCCCAAAGAGCAATCAGGGTTCCCTGCCCTGTGGGAAGTCCAAGGACCACCCACCTCCATCCAGGTCTAGTAAGGTGAGCATCCAAACTGCCTAGGCTCCCACAAAGCCAGTACATACAGTAGGATCAAAAGCCCATTGCCATTGTTCTTGAGTTCTCAGTAATCATTGTCCGCTATGTTCATAGCACCAAATACTCTTAACCCGTGAGCTATCTCTGCAACTTCTGCTCTTGGCTTTTGACTTCCAGCCCTATGTGCTGTATTGTCAGACTGGATCACCCCAAAGAGAGAAGTTTCTGGATGCACGTAGGGACAGGCACATGCAGGAGGCATGCTCGTTTTCTTAGGCTTCCTGGTATCTGTGTAGGGTTGTGGTGTCCTTCCTGATCTATATGGGTTCAGGATCATTCTCCAGCATCACTTCTTATCAGAGTGGAGCAGATCCGTCACTTTTCATCCAGTGTAAGATGTAGATTAGGCATATTCCTTGGTGGGAGTACCTGCAGAACTCTGCAGCTGGTGTGAGTTTTGGAGTGTTAGCACCTGGCTTTGACTCTAACTTTTGTGTCCACTGCCTTCTGTTTGAAGTATGCACATCTTATTTGAGAGCTTCCTAAAGGTTCAAAGTCTACGAAAAACATGGCTGTGGGTAGACTCAGAAAACTGAGATGTCCAGTGTGACTGGGAATTGCTCTGGCATTTGTCTCATGGGGAGCTTCACGTAAGAGGCTTTGGCATGAGGAATTGACTTAGTGAGGCACTAAACATCACTTTAATAGCCAAGTGGCCCAGAAAATGTGGAGACACAGGTTGGAGATCGAGAGAAGAGCAGATGACAGGAAATCCAGGCCTGGTAATGAATGCCTTCAATCCCAGGTCTCAGTAGTCAGAGGGAAGAGTTCAAGGCTAGCCTGTTCTTCATTGCAAGTTCCTGGCCAGGCAAGCTACACATTGAGACCCCGACGTCAAAATAGCATCAAAGTGAAGTAAAGAAAAGTGAGGAGGACTAAAATTTGAAGAAACCCATGCACAAGCCAGAATACAGCAGTCAGACCCCAGGAAGTGATTAATGGCGTGAGTCACCATGCCTGACCTTAGCTCCGTGTGCTGACAGCTGTGGAATGGAAGAACTTTGTATGCCCTGGACAGAAACCTGCATGGCACCCTATATCCAGTGCAAGGGGGGTCAACTTCCAGCCTCTGGTTTATGATGAGATCTTGCTGATTATAAAGGAAAGATGTATGGGAATCACCTGTGCTTTGTGTGACAGTAGAACAACTGGACAGTACATCAAATGTTACCTGTAGGGAGCATGGTCTAAACACTGCCAGTGTACCTGCGGCTTATGAGAATCAGAACTGACCCTAAGACGACGTAAATATATCATAACCTTATCAATCTTAAGCTTGAGTTTTCAGGACGATTCTCATTTTCTGATCTTTGTGAGGAAAAGATCCTCAGAACCCTACAAATTTTTCCTCATGCACACCTGATTCCCAGCAGGAGAATCATAGTGGATTAAATGTTTATCTTAACCCCAAAGGAAACAGGAAATGAAGTGATTTGGGGGCTATGAGGTGTGTGAAATAAGCGTGTTTGATGAAAAGGGGAACTGATATTACTTTGAAGGTGTATGTTCCTAATGGTGGAGCAGGAGATACTGTGAAGAAAAAAGCATGAGTTGCTGTAGACTTGTGAATGGACAGTGGTAAGTGCATAAGGCTCAGCAGCCAGTTCAGAGCTGAGGAAGTTACACTGGATACAAACATGCATGGCTGTGTGCAGGATGCCTAAGGAAAATGAAAGAGCTGTGGGGTTCAGGACAAAGCACCAGGGAGACTCAGACTGCTAGAATCTGTATGGTACAACAGTATCAGTTCGCATTAGGAAGATGAACTTTCATAATGATTATATCCTTAGGAATGGAATGGTTGCAGATGAGGAAAAGCCTTGGCCCAGGTATACTTAAGATGTGTCTGCAAATGGAGGTGTTTGGGGCTCCACTCTAGCTAAGGATGCACAGAGGAGGGCTTCAGAAAAGAACTGAAGCAAATCCAGAGCTTGTGGATCTCCAGAATGTGTCCACGAGTGTAACCAATGCTTGTCCTGATGGACCATCTAGGGCACTTTAGTGGACATGACTCACATGAATTCAACAGTCTTTGAGACAAAGCCTGTAACAGGTTTATCTGACCTTGGTGAGAACGTGACATATAAAGCCCCAAAGAGACATGGCTATGCTCAACGTGAAAAAAACTGTTACAACAACTTGCGACCACCTGCCCATGGCCAGCCACAGGCTCTAGGTCTGTGCTGCTCAGTCTGCAGTGAGAGATTGCTGCATAACTTAATTTGTCATTTGTCTTTTTGTTTTGGTTTTTTATTTTTGTTGTTTAGGTTTGGGTTTTGTTCTTTTGATATTATTTGTTCTCATTCTTGTTTTCCATAATTTCCCAAGGCTATCATTCACGTTTTGATATTGACTGCCCTTTAAAAGCCCCTTTTGAGAAAAATGTACTGTTTATTAATGAAATAAAAAGTGATTTCAAACTCTTCACACTTGAGACATGTTTGTATTGTCCGGTCTGGTGTCACACGCCTGTAACCTTAGAATTCACAGACAGAGATGCATCTCTGCTACTTCTAGGCAGCATAGGCTAGATAGTGAGTTCCCAGCCAGTTAGAGCTACACAGATTGTTGGTGTCTTGGTTTCGGACATCCTGGCTTGCTCCCTGGATACACACTTTATGATGGAATCAGTATCTATACTGTATCCATGCTGTCATAGATACCCATAAAATATGATGCTCTATAGACAAACTTTTAAGAAGTGCACAGGCATAACAAATTATTAAGAAATACACTTTTATTGCTGTATAGCCTCTCGGGATATAAAAACATTCATTATGGGAGCATAAGAGAAATCAGGGGACCCAGAGCTTTCTGCTTCTGTTTCTCTTGTAATACAGCATCAATGATAAGCACACAACACAGACCTTCCAAGTCACTTAGGGAAATCGCTTCTTATAGCTGGTGTTTCCCTTGACCATGCATTTGGTGCTTTTCTTTTTAGATTTATTTATTTTTATTTCATGTGAATGGGTGTTTTTTCCTGTTGTACATTTGTACTTCACATGACTGCAGTTCCTGAACAGGACAGAAGAGGGCAACAGATCCCCTTAGCGATGGTTTTTATACTCCATGTCAGAGAGAACCAAGTGCTCTTATCCTTAGACAGCCTGACATCTATGTAGGGCTCGTGTGTCCACACTGATCTGTGTGGGTTCAGGATCATCTCCAGCATCACTTATTGTCAGGGTTGTAGCAGGTCTGTCACCTCCCATGTAGGATGACCATGTACATTAGCCACATCTGATGAATGAAGAGCTGACATGGCCCTACTTGGGCCTTGGTGTAGGGTAAGGAATCCTTGATAACAAGAAAAAGCTGCAGCTAAGCAGTGTTTGGCGGAAGCTCCAGAGCAGCCAGAGTGCATGGAGCTGCAGCAGAGGACACAAGCTTCTGGTGGAGAGCATGGTTATGCAAGCCTGGCACCTGAGAGGGACATGCAACACTGCACTTTGCCATGGCAGATCTCAGAGTATATTAAGGGCTTTTGTTTCTAGGTGACTGGTTTTTTTTGTAAAGCTCCTGGGGGCAGA